AAAAAACACTGCAGGTCGCGCGCGTGGGCAAGGCTATTTGTTCCTATTTGGCATCCCCGGTAAGCGCTTGCCCGGGACGGAACGGCTCAACATTCTCTGTACTTATTTGCATTTGAATCTGATAGAGTACGAGGAGGGATGTAGGAAAATTACTCCCCTTTGATTCCGAAGCAGCCATGGAATTGCCAACTCAAGCATTGTTATAATAGATACAATGGTCCTGAGCGCCCAGTGCCCGAAACAGAAGTTCGCGCCGTAAACGCCCGGGAACAAACATGGGCAAATAGCTCGCCGCGCGGACGCGACCTGCAGTGTTTTTTGCAAATCACTGTAATGGCTCAGCGGACATAATGTGTCTTTCGTATTGCTGTGATGTACGCTTCATAATGCTGGGATGTGTCATCAAAGACTGGAAAAACACAGCCCCAACACAGCAATCGTGTCGAGAATGGTGAGTTTGAAGCAATCATGTGGACCGCACAACACGCTCAGTAAGCACTCCAAAAGAACGCATCGTGATATACTAATTGTACGCAGATCTCTCATACTTATTCCTGCCATCGAGATACGTAGCCGACTTCGAAGTTCAGGGTCATTGGAAGTGCAATAGCGGCCAGACGCTCAAGCCTCATTACGGGCGACTCTAACTCACCATGCTTCTGATAGTCCAAGTGGTATGGCTTCCCAGAAGTGCCAGTGGTGCCTGGAACGTTGGATATGCCACCAATCTTCGTGTCTTAACTTAGAGTGAGTCCACACGCACAAGACACAGTCAACAGATTGCTGACATTTTGATGTCGGCATTCACACAGCATGGGGGAGCAGGCACTCCATGTCACAATCTGACAAGCCTGCTCTGAGGAAACACAGCTTGCTAGATGAATCCCTCAAATCTATCCTACATTCAACCCCACCAAGTCGCCTCTCCCATCCTCCTTCTCTCCTTCAAGCCGCTGTGCTTGGTGCACCCGATTGAAGGTTCTCTTTCAAGAACTATTGACCGCAATGAACGATGCCGAGTAGCCTACAACGAGGTATGCAAACCTCTGGGATATCGGGCCAGGGAGGTATCAGACCTCCCAATCCCGCAGGTGATTGGCTGTTCGCCTGGGACATCAGTATGGGCGCATCGGATTTTGATGGCTAGAACAGTGCCACAGACTGAGTTTGTACTTGAGCAAACTTTGAGGAGCTCGAAGACGCGGACACTTCCTTCTCTGAGGAGGTCGCAATTGAGGAGACAGCGTTGTCCAACTGACGGAGAGCATTGTGCAGGTGCAGCGGGCGAGGAGGGTGGGGGACGCGCGACACGGAAGACCACCGACGCTGGCACATCAGCGCGCACTTTTTGATGATCGAAGTTACCATTGTGGCGCTTGATGGGGGCTGCGCGAAGAGGACCCGCCATTCGTGCTCCCTCCCCTCCCTCGCTGCGCTCGGGGGGTCCCCCGAGCCAGGAGCACTCAGGCGGGCACTCTAAAGCCTCGTTCGCGCGATAAATACAGACGGCCTCCCTTCTTGGGGGAGGAGGAGGTGTGAGCAGTGCCTAACCCAAACCCCAACCCTAACCGAACCCGAACCCGAACCCTAACCGAACCCTAACCGAACCCTAACTGAACCCTAACCGAAACTCTAACCGACGCGTATCACTCAGACCGCGTGGGTTGGGAGGTTTGATACCTCCCTGGCCCGATATCCCAGAGGTTTGCATACCACGTTGTAGTCTCTACCGATGCCAGGTTAGTGATCTGAAGCTACGAGATTCTCAGGTATATGAGGCCATTAGTGTCGCGGCGACTAGGCGCGTAGACTCGGGTCGTCGTTCGGCGACGACCTCGTAGGCGAGCGGCGAGGAGCCGAAAGGGGAGAAGAGAGGGTAAGAGGGATAAACGTATCAGAAAACTCGACAGGGCAGAGCGGCGGTCGGCACGAAGGCACGAGACCGACGAAAGCTAGTCTTCACGCAGACAGCGACAGACTAGTCCCAATGACCAAGTTATACATTAGCACTCGAGGGGAAGTACACGCTATGGTCACTCACCTAGTCCCAATGACCAAGAGGTCGAGATGGGGACTAGGGAGCGCCTAAGGGGGTCCTTATATACTAGAGGAGCTGCTTAGCAACCAAGGACAAGGCGCGAGAGCGAGGCAGTGAAGATGACAAAGAGAGAACAAAGGGCGAGAAAGAAAAGGCAAGGGCATGGCGATCACGGGAACGTAGCATGCGGCTGTGGGAACGTATCTACAGTGTCCAAATTGGGATGGGCTAGAAAAGGAAATGGTCCGCAAATGGAAGGTGGGCGTCAAAGGGAGGGG